AGTGGGAAGATGAGAACTGGCGACTCGGCAGTGCAACTTTAGTACGCGGAGTAGCTGGGGAGTGGGAAGATGAGAACTGGTGAGTGGGCAGTAGCTGCGAAGTGGCGACTTTGCAGCACGAGTGTAGTGCGCGGAGTAGCGGGGGGGAGATGGAAGATGAGAAGTGGCGACTTGGTAGTACAACTTTAGTACGCAGAGTAGCTGGGGAGTCGGAAGATGAGAACTGGTGAGTGGGTAGTAGCTGAGAACTGGCGACTTTGTAGTACAACTTTAGTAGTGCGCGGAGTAGCGGGGGAGCTGGCAGATGAGAAGTGGCGACTTGGTATTACAACTTTAGTACGCAGAGTAGCTGGGGAGCGGGAAGATGAGAACTGGTGAGTGGGTAGTAGCTGAGAACTGGCGACTTTGTAGTACAACCTTAGTATGCGGAGTAGGTGGGGAGCTGGAAGATGAGAACTGGCGACCTGGTAGTACAACTTTAGTACGCAGAGTAGCTGGGGACTGGGAAGATGAGAACTGGCGACTTGGTAGTACAACTTTAGTACGCAGAGTAGCTGGGGAATGGGAAGAGGAGAACTGGCGAGTGGGTAGTGGCTGCGAACTGGCGACGGTGTAGTATATAACTGTAGTGCGCGGAGTAGCTGGGGAGCTGGAAGATGAGAACTGGCGACTTGGTAGTACAACTAACACGTGCCTTTGATAACAGGCAGTGGAAGCCAGCTTGCTGGCTGCCATTGTCCAGATGGAAAGCCAGCACGCTCGCTACCATCATAGTTGAAGTGGGTAAGCCAGCACGCTGGCTGCCATTGTTGAGATGGCAAAGCCAGCACGCTGGCTACCATCATAGTTGAAGTGGGTAAGCCAGCACGCTGGCTGCCATCATAGTTGAAGTGGGTATGAGCCAGCACGCTGGCTACCATCATAGTTGAAGTGACAGGTCACTGCTTCGAGACGCTTCTGGCGTGGCTGCCTCAGCATTTTCTGTGTTCATTCCAGCTCGGTCTTTCACCTCGTGCTACTTTGTTGCATGTTTCTGTAGGAGAGGCGATTAGAAAATGAACAGCATAGTGGTTCTTAACTACATCTAGAGCGAAGCACATGTCACCCTCAGAGCGCCTGCACCAACAGACTGTGTATTTTCCGTGGCTGACCTGTCGGTGCTGACAGTGACATTGCAGAAGTCTCCATACAACTTGAGCCAACTACCAAAATATCTACTCAACAGCAGTGACGCATATACTTGGAAGAAGTTTCACGCACCCCACAAGCTTTTGCAATATTCATATCGCACATGAACCTTTACGACGCAAACAGAGCCTTCTTATGGCTATGCATGCGCTATTTACTACTTTGCAGCCCACTAGCTCGTAGGTCTTCCTCTTTGCCCAGCCATCATGCCAGGGAACCTTGGTATTGTTGACGACCACTTCTTCAGCGTCAACCAGGATGACCAGAGGCAGATGATTCACACGTTATTGTTCAGTCTGCAGTGCAGCATGTGGTTTGAAGGCTTCGCAGATCCGTTCATTCGTGACTTTGGTTTCACTTGTCATCAAGTTGCAGTCCCACACCTGCTTTGGCAGCTTCCGCTCCTTCCCCTTAGTGTCGTCTTCAGCTTTCTTTACGTGCGTTGGGGATTAGTGCCTTGGGTGCACACGTGAAACGTGAGGAAGATCCTACACCTGAGACTCAGGTCCATGCTGATGCATGGATACCAATGCAATTGGCAGAAAGCCTTTGACTGGAGTTCCTCTGACAGGTCACTGCTTCGAGACGCTTCTGGCGTGGCTGCCTCAGCATTTTCTGTGTTCATTCCAGCTCGGTTTTTTCCGTGAGATTCCCTGCAGCCGTGCGCGCTGCTTCTCCGCTTACCAGCAGCCCAAATGCTCACGACGATGAGCTGGGCTGTCACCGCTTGGCCGCCGGTGGGGGTTTGGGAGGCCTGCGCGCTACTTCGTTCATCTCCTCTGACAGGTCACTGCTTCGAGACACTTCTGGCGCACCTGCCTCGGCACTTTTGTGTCCTCATTCCGGTTCGTTTTTTTCCGTGAGCGCCGTGCACGCTGCTTCTCCCCTTACCAGCAGCCCAAATGCTCACGACGATGAGCTGGGCTGTCACCGCTTGGCCGCCGGTGGGGGGTTTGGGAGGCCGCATCACACACAGACACCCACACACTCCCTCAACTTACACGAACACACACCGGATAACTCGCACTCTGACTTCCTACGTGATGAAAAATGCTTTCGGGCCACTCGTCGTCTAGTTCAAATTAAAGTCTAAACTGAAAATTGAATTTTTCTATTCTCAGTTAGAGTCCAAGCTGGCTGAAAACTGGTGTTTCTATTTTCAGTTTAGAGTCTAAACCAAAATCTTGATTTTTCACTTTTTCAGTTTAGGGTTGAAATTAAAATTATGCTGCTCACATGCTTTGTTTTAATTTCATATTGAAGTTAAAGTAGTCTTCCAAGCATTTATCAATCTCGATTCACTGCTATAATCATGCTTTGGTGTTTGTTCTTTGTGCAGATTGAGAGCTAGCCTGACTATGGCAAGGAAATTTTGGAAAGGGAACTGTTACAAGGGAAACGCGGGAAGGAAACTGGAGGAAGGAACCTGTAGGAAGGGAACTGGTGAAAGTGAAGTGTGGAAAGGAAACGAAGGTACCTGTGGGAAAGGAACTGGAGAAAGGGAACTGGAGGAAGTGAAGTGGAGGAAGGTAATTGTAGGAAGTGAACTGGGGGAAGTGAACTATGGAAAAGGGAACTGGAGGAAGGGAAGTGGTGGAAGGGAATTGGAGGAAGGGAACTGGAGGAAGGAAACTGGAGGAAGGGAACTGTGGCAAGGGAACTGTGGCAAGGAACTGTGGAAAGGAAACTGGTGCAAGGAGACTGGAGGAAGGGAACTGGAAAAAGTAAACTGTAGGAAGGGAACTGGGATGAATGAACTGTGCAAAGGTAACTGGGCGAAGGGAACTGTGGGAAGGGAACTGGAGGAAGGGAACTGGAGGAAGGAAACGGGAGAGAGGGAACTGGAGGAAGGAGATTGGAGGAAGGAAACTGTGCGAAGGGAACTGTGGGAAGGGAGCTGGAGGAAGGGAACTGTGGAAAGGACACTGTGAGAAGGTAGCTGGAGGAAGAGAACTGTGGCAAGTGGGCTGGCGGAAGGAAACTGGAGGAAGGGAACTG